AGTTGAGTTGCGATGTGTTGAGTTGAGTTGAGAGAGCGGGCCGGGCCGGGCCGGGCTGGGCAGAGGACGGGGCAGTGCAGTGCAGTGCAGACGTCGGCAGAGAGCAGCAAAGCAGGCGCACAAATACAACAAGTGCAAAAGAATAAGCAAGCGGCAGAGAGAGAACGAAACGAGGAGGAGCAGCAGCACACAAATAAACAGACACGCACAGACACACACACACACACACACACACACACACACACACACACACCCATACACATACAGCGCCACAGTTCGAGGTTGGCTGACTGGCCAGCCATGCCGATTAACATACAAAAGGATCTCAAGTTTTTGGAGCCGCCTTCTGCAGCTTCTGCCTGTCCGCCGTCCAACGCGTCCCCCACCCCGTCACAACAGCCAATGGGCATGAATCATGGACGCCGCAAAAGAACGCAGAAGCAGACAACGACGTCGCGCTGCAGCAGCCACTCAGACGACACAGTCAACGTTTGTGTTGTTTTTGGTTTTGTTATTATTTTTGTTTTTGTTGGTGTTATTGCGCTTTCTGCGATTGCGTCGCGATTGCGTCGCGACTGCGACTGCGTCTTCGTTTGCGTGCGTCGCTCCCAGAGTCGGCTGTGAGTGAGTCACTGAGATTTTGTTGTTTATTTATATCGTATGTCCGGAGGGTTTAAGAGTACACTGAAAGCCTGAATGCCAAATGAATGGATCAGGCATTAGGAGGCGTGGCATACCCCCTTTAAAGAATACAACCAATATGGCAAGTCGCTATAAACAAGTCCGTCCGTTTGTTTGCTGAGATCTTCTTTCAAAGCTTTACAACTGTTTTATCCAAACGCAATCTTGGTGGGATCGGTGGAATACCATTGCGGTTTATAAATATAAGTACATTTTACAATAACGATCAGTTTTGCTTTAACATATAATTCCAATAGAAACAATCGATGCAGCATAGCTTCGTAAAATTGCAGGACTGTAGCATAGGAGTTTAGCGAGGCGTGTACAGGGTATACAAGAGTCGAAATTAGCGTTCTTTCGGAGCAACAAAGCAAGCGCTTCCGGCTCATCCACAGTCTCTGGCTGAGCCTTAGCTATAAGCTGGGCTGGGCTGGGCTAATTCATCGGAATAATCAGTCATTTATTATGGTCGTGAAACATTTGACAAATCAGTGCGAAATATGAGACTTCGGCTGAGACACTAAGACACTGACCGGGAGGCGCTTGTCTTCGTCAAGTGCTCGCTGCTCGCTGCTCGCTGACAGGATAACAAAGCAGACGATGCTACTTAAGCGGCTCTGGCGCCAGTCCACATGACACCAGCCACCATATGTCTGTTTATTTGTTTGTTTGTATCGGTATGCAGGACCAAGCAGGCGCAAGCCACAATGTCTGGCAACGCTTTGGTGGTCAGACGTCGAGACCATTGACCATTGAAGACGCCAGCAAAACGAAGCAGGGCCACAGAACCAGCGTCGCCATCGCCACCATCTTCATCGTCATCGTCGTCGTCGGCGCGGCGCTCGGTCTCGATACACGAGCCACGCAACGAGCCAAAAGCAATAATAACAATAATAAAAATTGTGTACAAGTCCACAAGTACACGATCCACACACTGATCCACATAAGTATGCGAATAAGTATTCGTCACATTCTTTGGATGCAGCGAATTTGGAATTTTCATTAATTACATGGAGTGGGCTCACTGGAGCTGCAGATATGACGAAAGAGGTTGAAGAGGAGCAGAAGAAGATACAGGTCGAGGTTTGGAATACCAAGCACGACTCAGGCTCAGTTTTATTTCACTTGACATAGCAAAAAGATTGATTTGGAGATAATGGGTGGCCCTATAAGTTCGTCTGCTAGGTTTTCTATATATCAATATTTAGGTAGGGCTGTCGCATCAGATTTTTCATGGGCTTATGTTTCTTTTGAAATGAGAAGCTTTATTTATTTATTTTTTTAAAGTTATTTATTTCTCTTAAGCAACTTCTTTCAGCAATTTTCCGCAGATACTTAACTCTTTGAAATAAATTCACTTGCAGTTAGTTTGTCAAGTTACTTATGCCCCTGAGTGTAAGCTTAAGGTGTGCTTGTTTAGTTCTGCCATAAACTTTGGCTTCGTCTCTCTGCTGGGCCGTGCAGTTCGAGGCAATGGCAGCTCCACCTTCCCAAGCTCACCAGTTGCCTTCAGTCTTCATCGTCTTCGTCTTCTTCTTCTACGTGTTCGTGTTCGTCTTCATCGTCGTCGTAGCCGTCGTAGTCGTCGTCACAAAGTCTTCGACGGCGCTGGCGTTGGCGCTGACGCTGGCGCAGGCGCTTGTGTGGCTGGCTGGCTCTCTGCCTCGATGTCTCGTTAATGGCAGGTGCGCTTCAATACAACAACAGCAATAACAGAAACAACAAGAACAACAACAAAGACAGCGCCACCAGCAGAAGACCTTTGAGGTCCGTTGCTAGTCACGTTGGCTGCCTTTTGGGCTGCGCGGGTGTGTCAAGTCATCTACACAAACACAAATACAAATACAAACAAAGAGTGCAGAGTGCAGCCCAAAGGCAGTTGAGCGCATTGCTGTTGTTTGTATAGGTAGCTAAATATTTATATGTGTGTGTGTGTGTGTGTGTGTGTGAAAGAAAGAGCACGCAAGTGTCATTCTTTTGGTTGCGCCAACAACTCTTCAGACTTGGTCGCAGTCGCCACCACCACCTCTGCCTCTGCTTCTGCCGCTGCCGTTGTTGTTACTGTTGCTGTTGTTGTTGCTGTTCATTCTTTATGCCAACCCAACCAATAAAATTATACTAATTCTTGACTTTTTGATTTCATTTTCTGTTTTGTGCAATGCTCTCTACTCATGCATGTTGTTGTTGTTGTTGGCATACCTTTGCCAACCTAAGGATTACCTAAACACACACACACATACACACGCACACACATAAAAAACAGAGTTTTGGGCTCTCGCTCACTCCTTCGCTTTGGGCTCAAGCTGGCTGACTAGTTGGCTGGCAGTTCCCACTGGCCCCGACCCAGACCCAGAGCCCTGGAATACGCGACGAGACAGTTTGGTTTTAGACTTGGCTCATTGCGCGTGAGACTGACTAGAGTTTTCATTTTTCTCTATTACGTCTGAGCTCTGAAAACGAAAAACCGCGCGATTTTTTGGATATTGTCAGTAAAGGCCAGCAAAGTAAGTAATTCAGAGAAATAATGAATGGCAGAATTCATAGCAAAGAAACTTGAATGATAGCTGATTGATTTATTTGAAAATCTGTAATATTTGCAAATTTTAGAATAATTGGACTGATGAGTAAATTAATTAATTATCTATGAAGTTTTTTATAAGTTGGGAATTACAGGCTGCCCACCAAGCTGACAAAACAAACCCTTTGTAATAAAAGTTTATAAGAGAAATAGGCCTTAATACGACACTGAAGTTGACCTTACAAACAAGTTAACTAGTTAAAGGAAACTTAATCTGAAATAATTTTGAATTAATTGTCAATAAATTGAGTTTATAATTATCTTATTTATATTCTGCTGATCTTTAAATCATATACATATGTACAAGTTATTCACGTTTGGGCAGATGAAATGTCCATAAATAGGTTTTTCGGAAAGGCTTTTCAAGCTATATTACTGCAAAAGGTATTTCTTAAAACTGCTTAAAACCAACTACGTGTGTGTCTAATACTGTGAACACTTCTAGCCTTATAGCTAACAAAATGCGAATTCATTATAAACTGAAAGAAAGCTTTTATGGGAAAAACGTTGAATGAAGTACAACTTCCAATATTTATAAAAGAAAGCAAAATTATAAACTATGTTCATTTCTCTTTGGTAGTTTTTCCGTTTTGGAGCATATTATTTCGCATTTGTTTAACACAAAAGCAAGCTTGGAATGTGGGAATTTAATTTTTACAAGTATATTGGCAAGTTCATAAAAATGCGGGAAATTGTTTTTTTTGGTACCTCCTCAGATTCTTCTGAGTTTGAGTTGAATCTCAGGTCTCTTTACATAAAGTTAACAACCAGTTGATATTCTTATAAGCCACCCTCAAGAACTTGGCCCAATGTCAAGCCACAATTTGCGGCCATAAATTCCGAGTCGTTGCAAGCGAACGAACGTTTGCAATGCGAACTCAATATTGCTGTTTGGATTCACTCAAAGGCGACTGCGCAGCTGACGTCGCAGCAGCTGCGCGCAATCAACCAATTAACTGTCTGTGTGTGTGCGAGCCGTTGACGCCGGCGCAAACAGAGCAGTAGAGCGCAGCACTCAAATTTGAGCAAAAGAGCACAAGCTCGGTCGGCGTCGACGACTGGCGGTCTGTTAAAGTTTCCAGGGATTTGCTTTAAAGAACCTGCGTGTGCGTCGATGATGCTGGCGCTGGCGCTGCCCGGGAGAGAGAGCGAGAGACCAGTGCTAGCAACTCTCTAGTGTTGCTCTCGACAACGACTGCCAGCGGCGGAGACGACAACGACGACCGCAGCGACAACGAACGAATCAGGTAGACGTAGACATGAAGGCGTTAGTCGTTCTACAGCGCTGTTCGAGTTTAAATCTATTTGCTGAAAGAGCGTGCGAAGCGGCGCAGCGGCAAAAGGCCAAATGTGAATCAAATTGAAGTAATAAAAAATTCGAAAATTTCAAAAAACTTGCCGCGCCGACGACAGAGTGAAGTGAAGGAATTAAATAACAACAAATACAGTAATTACAACTGCTATCAAGAAGTATTGGATTGCACATTAAATTATGCAAAAAGTCGCGTGTGTTAACAGCAGCAACAAATCATTATAACAACAACAATAACAACACCAACAACGAAATTCAATGCAATATCATTTTTTTGTAGCTGTGATTTTGATTTCTTCGTACATTTTTTAATGCATTTGTTCGAACGTGTGTGTGTTTGTTGGTTTCGGTGTGTGTGTGAGTGTGTGTCGAATGGAATGTCAACTGACAAGTTGTAAAGGGAAACCCTGAAATTCGAACAGCAACTACAACAAAAAGAAGTCAGAAAAAACAACAACAATTAATTCAAACAAAATCAAACTCTGCGCATACACAAAAAAGTCTGCGTTTCTGTTTCTACACCGTCGTATGTGTGTGTGTGTGTGTGTGTGTGTTTGTGTTTGTGAAGTGCGGCCGATCTGCATAACAACAGCAACAACAACAACAACAACAACAAACCTACAAACAAGACAATTAAACACATAGTATTTTGTGTATAAATTTTTTGGCATATGGTTACTTGGAAATTATTATGTGGATTACTGTGTCAGCAAAAAGTTCAACGGCAACAGCAACAACAACAGCAACAACAACAACAACAAATGCTCGACGTCAGGCGAGAGCGCGTGAACAAATTCAAAGTTGTTGAATTACAAATAAAAAGAAGAAAACACGAAACATGCAAAGAAACATAAACTGTTAAATAAACATAAGCGAAATTGTGTGAACAGACAGACATTCGAGTTAACATTTCCAAATTGAATTGCCGCGTGCCATGAGCCGCGTTGAGCGTGCAACGTGGAAGGCAACGCAACAACTGCTGCTGGATGCGACACAACAACAACAGCGTTGGCAGCTAGCAGCAGCAGCAGCAGCAGCAACAGTAACAGCAACAGCAACAACAGCGGCAGCAGACGACACACTTAACAGTGAGAGCAACATTCAAGTTAACATCAACACTAACAGTGACTGTAATTGCAGCTGTAATAACAGCGTACGGCTAGACGCTGCGCCGGCGCCTGCAAAGCGGCAATAGAAATTTGAAAAACAGCAGCGCAAGACACGCGTCCGTCAATCAAACAGTCACTCAGCTTACTCACTCACTCACTCACTCAATCAGGCAGTCAGTCAGTCAGTCAGGCAGCCAGTTAGTCAGTCAGTCAATCGGCGATTATCATTTATTTACGCAAGCGTGATTTATTTACGGAAGTCAAGCCACAAAACAGCTGTTATTGTAAATAAGCGTGCAAATATCGAAGCAGCAAACTGAAAGAACAGAAACTAAAACGAAAGCAAACTTAAAGATAACACAGTCGCGCTCATAAATCTAGACGTGAAAGTGTCAAAAACTCAAACGATCCATCAAAATACACACCTATCGACGAATCGACTCGAGACACACATAAATACATTCTACATAAATATACTTACTATCTACCTACAGACAACGCTGAAACGTTGGAAACTTTATAAGACTGAGGTGAGTGCCACTAAGTGGGGATTTGTTATGTAAATTATCGATCGGCCTGCAAGTCGAACTCTCTGCTAGCGATCGCTGGTAATTCGTTCCCACAGGCAATTCATCACGATATCTCCACACATATGTCATAATTGTATGAAAGCTGCCTTCCAGGAACACAGCTATTGTCTCCACTTCTAGTCCAGCTCCAGGCTCCTGGCGGCCTCTTCACACACACACACAAAGCCATGAAAATGTCAATGTCCTGGCACATAAATTACAAACAAAAACAAAAAAGTAGATGTATTTTTTTTTTTTGCGGCGGCGGCTATTCTATTGTCTGTGCCGGCCTTTTGTGGCATGCAACGCACAGCCAAATAGACCTAAAGACTCATGTATTGCTAGGAGAGACGTTTCAGACTAGGTTAGGCACTAATTGGATTTTATTTTATCCACTATTTTATTTAATTTGCTTCTCTGCAACTGCTGTACATGTGATTGAATTAAAGCAACAGAACAACTTATCCAGATGAGAAAACTCTGTAGTTCCTAGTAATTTTTAGAGCAAATGTCCCGCATATTTGCGGTTAATATAAAATCTAATAATAACATTACTAGTTGTAATAAAACTGCTGGTGTACCATGATCAAACGAGTAGAGTATGGACATCGGGAACATTTCAACCATTAGAGTTAGGCGCACTAAGCCTAATGTATTGGCAGTGTTGACTGATCTAGCTTAGAGCGAGCTTACTACAAAAGATATTAATCACAGGAGCGATCGATTCAAAAATCATATTTCATGGTAACAAAACTTTATTTCTACATGAAAGTTTAACATATAGCTGAACTAGTAAAGATCGGTAGAAATAACACACTTTGTAGAATAACTTGCGTGTCTATGGAGATGTATTCTCAGAAGTGTTAATTTAAAAGTGTTTTATAGTTCTTTGTTATTTTGGAAATACATTTTTTTTTTAGAATTTTTTTGCTTTAATCTGATTCATCGATCTAATCTAATCTAAAGCATCGAAATCGGTGGACTATATTATATAGCTAGGAGAGAAAGGATCAATATTTGTAGCCATAACAAGCTAGATAGAAGCAAACAAATTAAGAATAGAACCGAACTGATATTAGTAAATCAATTTTGGCGAAGAGAGACGCAATTAGAGCGCATTAAAGAGTCGTTTTTAGCGCCACTTAAGCGTTCTGCTCGCTCTTCTTTATCAATTGAGCAACCGGAATTAAAAGCCGCAAAATGTGTCAATTTGCGAAACATTTGCGTCGACAAAAGACTCTGATATTTGAACTTTGGCAACAGCTTGCGGAATTTCACAATTTCGAGTGTGAATTCGAATTGTGGCTGAATGGGTCCGAGTGTTGGAAATTCCTGTTCATTCTGTGCTGTCGAAACTGGCAGGGGAAACCCCCGCAGGTAGTTAACAGTTAGGAAAAGTGATGCGTGAAACCGCCACACACACACACCCACACACTCGCACGTCACACGCTCGCTCGATCGCCCGTTCGTTCATTTCCCAGAACATATTAAAAACACAGATAGCTAGATAGAGAGGAAGAGGAAGAGAAACGTAGGGAGAGGGAGGAAATTATGAAAAATCATAACATAAAACTCCATGGGCCGACAAACAGAACAGAACAAAACAAAACAAAACAAATTCATTCACCCTTGTGCGCCGTTTGTGGCGCTTATCTGAGCCAAAAAATCAACGCCTCGGCCAACAACTTATAGACGCCGGCACCCCCCAGCGTGTGCCAAGAACCAACAAGAAGAAGAAAGGGCTGTGGGGATCGAATGGAATCGAATTTGGAATTTGGAAAAATTCAACAATTTCTTTGCGCTTTGCGGCCGTCGTATAACAAATTTTTTATACTTTTTAGTACAAGATAAGATCATAATCTTTATGTGAAAAACAACGTGTAATTTGTTGAGTGTGTTGTGAGTGTGAGTGTGTGTGTGTGCGTGTGTGTGTGAGTGTGTTTGTGTGTGTGGAGTGTGTGTTCGTTCTTTTCTTTTACCTCTGCGGCGCGCTCATCTTGAGAGATAGCATCTGCGGCCGAAATTTATTGCCTATAACCAAAATATATAGAATACTTGTAATAATTTTCATAAATTTCTTAGATAAAGGGGCAGTTGGGGGTTTTGGCTTTCAAATGGCCGCCTTGTATAAATCAGAGCCAGCGATAAGCTGACTAGAATATATAGAGGCAGGCGTTATATACAAAGTTATGACAGCCAAGTCTCTAATAACACACAAACACACACATACACACACACACACACATACACACTAATACATACTCGTGTGTATTAAGTATTGAGCCCACTTTGGGGCGTTTTGAATTTCTAAACGCAGACAGGCAGCCAGCTTTCGTATGCAGATCGTGTGTCAAGAAAGGTGCAATGTCCGCGGCAGCAATGCGTTGCTGGCCATTTCTTTTTTCATTTTCATTTTATTTCAATTGCTATTAATTTTTTGTTGGACGTGGAAAAACTGCAACTGCCGCACACCTTTCGCCAGTTTTATGGCCAAATAAAAATGGGCCCGCGCACAAGGAAGCTGCAGCTTAGCTGCTTGAGCCGCATCCTGCGCACCCACACATACACACACACACATACATATATCCCACTACCTGCACCCACACACACACACACACACACACACACGTACACACATAGGCGCTTAGCTGCAGACTCACTCTCTTGATTGAAAACGGCACTGGATTTTCCCTTTGGCTGCTGCGTGCGGCGCAGTCGAGCGCTGTGCTCGTGTGCCATATGGTTGTCTCGCTCGCTCACCCATGCGCACGCAACCAAATTGATTGAGTGAGTTGCGCACTGAGCACTATGTTTGTTGTTGTTGTCGTTTGTTTGAGAGAGCGCTGATGCTGTCGCAGTCGCTGCGCTGTCGCTGTCACTGTCTTCGTCGCTGCGCTGCTGCTGCTGTCTTCGTCGTCGGTGTCGTCGTCGTCGTCGTCGTCGTTTTTCTGTTGCTGCCGTTGCGCTTAACCCTTTGACTAATGCTTAACAATTTCCTATGTTTTTGTATCGTTTCAGAGTTGCAAGCGACCATGCGCGCATGGCTTCTACTCCTCGCAGTGCTGGCGACTTTTCAAACGATCGTTCAAGTTGCTAGCACCGAGGATATATCTGTGAGATTTATCACAGCGATAACGCCAATTGAGGATTTAGCAACAGCAACAACAACAACAACAACAAAAACAAAAATTAAAGCGCCTAACACGGCAATTGCAAAAACAACAAAAACAACAACGGCACTAGCAACAGCAGTTCTGCCATTTAACGATTTGCTACCATCTTCAAAAAAGTTACTCTACAAAAGCAGTGATAGTGATAACAACAACAACAACAACAATAACAACAATAATATTAATAATAGTAATATTAATAGAAGAAGTGACGATATTATCGAAATCAAAAACATTGAAGAGTTACAAGTGCATAAAACAAATACAGACCAATTAGAAAATTCCAAAAATAAGCATAATAACAATAATAAATTAGTGAATAATAACAAACATCATAACAATAACAAAAAACAACAAACAAACAAAATGGCTGTCCAAAAGCAACAACAACTACAACAACAACAGAAACACCACCACCATCACCAGCACCAGCACCAGAACGAGGATGCAACAGAATCTCAGAATCACAGAACCACATCCTATTATGTGGAGACGGAGGCGGCGTTGCATCCACAAAATGGCGGCGACAGCGGGTCGCCGGCCTCCCCGTCGGTGGTGGTTGTGGCCGCCGTCGAGGTGCCCGCCAATGCGGACGCAGTCATCGAGGAGGAGGGCCCCCAAACATATAGTAATAATGAAGTAATTAAGGACAAAGTTAAACCAGATCCATCAACTCTAGTCGAAATCGAGAACAGCCTCCTCTCGCTGTTCAACATGAAGAGGCCGCCGAAAATCGATAGATCCAAAATCATAATACCGGAGGCGATGAAAAAGCTCTACGCACAAATAATGGGACACGAAATCGATTCGGTCAATATACCAAAACCAGGCCTGCTAACCAAATCAGCGAACACAGTGAGAAGTTTTACACATAAAGGTGAGTTCCCAAGTCGCATATAATACCGATATATGTATATATACATATATCTCCCCAATATAATATTAACTTGTCTAAACTTGTATAAGAATAGTCTGGGTCTGGCTTTTCCCTGAAAATATTATAGAGAGCTTGAAGCTTACTCACTTTTCTTGATGGATCTTTTCTTATATCGATCTAGAGAGAGTTTTGGTATGGCTGTCATCTTTTGAAAGAAAAATGCAATCAAATGGACTTCTTCTTTTATCGATCTTCAATAGAGCTTAAAGTATTAGATATATTTAGACCTTTAGAACTTATACACTCAGAAAAACAATTCGAATAGCTCATTCTCTATAGAAGAACGACTGGTTGTATTTTTTAGATTGCTTTCGAAGGGAATTTATTTCAAAAACTCGAAATTCGAATACCTTCTTAAAGCCCTGCGTAGTTTTTAAATATTTCTGTAACATATTCTTCACGAGATGATAATTAATGGCAGCCATTTCTTTTTAAAGGTTTAAAACCACTTTACTACAATATTTGTTTTGATGAGAAAATAAAATGAGAACAATTTATAATAATTTCTTTATATATTTTCACTTTTTTCTCTCAAAAATTTTATTATTCATACAAATGGAAAAATAGCTGAAATAATATAGTTCTTAAAAGGGCAATGAAGAAATTGCGAAACCCCTTTAAAGGTGTTCAATAAATGGGCACAATTACATTGTTGTTATTGTTATGTCCCTTTTTCAAACCCTTTAAAAGAGGTTTGGTTAGGTGTTCCAAGATATATCCATGAAGTTCTAAAGTAGCCCAATAGTTCTAGAATGTTTCTTCTTGAGAAAGGGGCAATTTTTATGGCACGCACTTGGTCGGGGCTTAGGTACCAGGCAGCAATTTCGTTTCCCATAAATTTAACCCAAATAGAACACAAATTCAACCCAAAATTTAACCCAAACCTGCCTTTCTTAAATTAATAAATAAATCTGAGGAAAACCATGTATTTAGACACAATTATGCAAATATTGTTTGTTTTTAGAGGCAATAGTTGAGCTTGAAACATAAATAAATATCGGGGAAAATATGTAAAGCTACTTGTATTTCTGAGAATGGGAGAGCAAACTTTCATCAGAGTAAGATCATCTCTGGTTGGTTTAGACGATATTGAAATATGTGCAGAATAACTATCGAATAACTCAGAAATGTTATTGCGAAACATTTCCGTGCCACATAATTGAAACAAGTGCGAAAATAGAAATGGAAGCGGTGCAGAATACTTGATATAGAAGCGGATTGATGGGCAGTGGAAATATATACTATATAGAGATTAAGTTATGCCAATGCTATGTGTGTTAAAAGGAATATCTCTGAAAAGCCAATAATTCATTAATTATATTCGGGATTGCGAATGTTAAACATTTCCATTATGATTATATGTTTATGCTGCATAGAAGGAAAATGAATTATATATCTATGGAAGGCCAAATCGCATAGCTCTGTATTTGTATTCAGAACATTTTCTTTACCCGTAATTGAAACAAATGCGGAAATGGATGTAGGCCTAATTATTATTTGGTTAGACTCTGCGGAATACTTGATATAGAAGCTATTGCTATTAAATTGTGTTAAAGGGAATATCTCTGCTCGAGTTTTCTTTCAACTCAACTCAGTCTCTTCGATCCATCCATCCATCCATCCATCCATCCATCTGTTGAACTCAAACGCTGCTTAAATACTTCACACATGTGCGCGTATTTCCCCGTCGAAATAAACGAATGAAGTGGGTTAAGGATTTTCCAGTCCACTTATCACATACGACTATCATTTGCATTTGCATTTGGTTCGCTTCGGATCGGATAGGTTCGGATCGTATGTATGAAAAATCACGTGGAAATTCCGCAATGTCGCATGAAAGGCAACTGAAGGACCTGCCGGTACCTACTCGTACAGGCTAAAGGATACAGAGATGAGTCGCGGTGCACTTGTGTGTGCCTGCAGTGTCGCTGGTCCTTTTACCTGGGCGCACATGTTAACCCATGAGTGACCTTGAAATTTTGTTGTTCGGCAGAATTACACCAGGAATGTTTAGCGCATGCGCTAAATGGCTTTTATATTGTATTTGTAAAAATAACAATTATTATTAAAGCGTATTTCGCATTATTTTCCACAGGATTAGAGGGATGGCAACAATAAAGAGTGGGATGGTGGCATGGTGGCATGGGATGGTGGCATGGATAGAATGGCAAACGGCTACAATGGCAGCATGCTATAATGGTGTGTGAGAGCCAGTGTGGCAGGTACAAAAGGTAGGCGCAAACGTGTCTAAAGCCAACTACGGCTAAGCTGTATGATCGACCCTCCTGTTTGTGCTGTTCGTTGTGTTCGTCCTGTTCGTCCTGTTGTCCTCTTGTCTTTGCTCTGCCATGAGTGGTCCGATTCGGTCCTGCGGTCCCAGCTCTTGTTGCTCTTCCCGGCTACGCAAATCAGAGAATTTACGATGACCTTTTGTTCGGGGTAAGGTGCGCCGCTCGCCGCTTGCCGCTTGCCGATTCAAATTTAGATTTCGCAGAGCGTGCAGCTTGTACCTTCCACCTTGCACCTTCCACCTTGCACCTTGCAACGGTTTCGTTTCAGGCAGGACAAGTGAAGAGCCGCTGCCGTCACAGACGACGCCGCCCTTTGTTATGACGAATTTAGAGACACTGGGTGGGTAAGGTCCTTAGCAGAGGCGCCAGTTGTAAAAGCGGCACAAAAGCAAGTTTAACGGCTTTATTGTGAGGCAGCCGCCGCCGGCGTCGCCACCGTCACCACCACCACCTAGCCAGGACAGCCAGTGTCCTCGTAATCTGCTCGTCGATTCCAGGGCGTACGTGTTGACAAAGAGGTGGCATTTCGGCGGAAGCTTAGAGCGGCGAAGTGTGATTTTCGAGCCTTCTGTATTTATTTCTCAATCTCGGCCATAAAAACCGTGCCGTGCTGGCAACAGAGTTTCCCGCTCAGTTTTTATATCGCAATACTTTCATTTACAAAGCAACTGAGACCGATCCCATCTGCCAGCTGTATTCAACCTAGGCTGCAAATAATTTATACAGAAAACGCTGCTTTTTAATAAGTCCAGAAAATTTCCTGAAACCACAAATTTATTACAGAATTCTAATTCTATTTATTTGGAATTTTTTCTTATTTTATTTTTGACATGCATTCAAACAATGGAATTGCAATCTTTCTAGCCATAGTGCAGGAATTTCGTAGAGCCTAAACGCATTATTTTATATTCGATAATAAGTCGCTTTTGTGAAAAAGGTAGAAAGGATGAATCAATCAATAATAGATCCGTTACCTATTCGGCTTCCATTAGCAATGTTTCCATTTCAGCATCGACCTCAGATCATCTTTTAAGAACACTCTAACCGATTGAAAAGCTAATGCACTAATGGAACTCAAGATAATTCGATTTTTATTTATTTATTTATGTCAACAAACATTGACTGTCGACAGAGGAGGAATATATATAAAAACTATAAAAAGCATATTTTAAGCCTTAGAAGGATAAATCTAGTAAAATTATAATAATATCTAAGTAACGCCTCCGACCCGATGGGGGAATATTATTTGCCCTTCGGCTAGCTAAGCCATTAACTATTTGCTTGCAAGTCAATAGAGCCATGTCCATCGTTCCGTTTGTAAATTTGTTCATCCGTCCGTCTGTATGATCGTCGATAGCCTTTGATCTATAACAGCTAGGTGAACGGAATTTGGCCAATAGATATATCTAACCCATTTGTGGATGAAGTTTAAAAACGTATACCAAGACATCTTTATTTTATAAAGCTGTCATAGGAACGGTCGGTGCAGAATTCACTTGTATTGGCAAAAACTTGCAATACTGTAAAATAATTCGGTATTTCTGGGTTTTATATATATCTTATATATGTGTAAAAATGAACATAGTATTAAAATCTTGTTACCTATGGTGATACGACATTTTTAGAGATTTATTAGACTTAAATAGCCCCCCACCTTATTCCTAATTTTGATTCAAATGTGTGTTGTATTTCAGTATATTCTCCCTAATACAAGGCAGCCCTTTGTTTGCCGTTCTTAATAGGCCCATAAATAGTTAAAGCCCATTATAATTATCAGAATATTTACCGGCGTTCTAAAGCGAACCTAACTCATGTGTGGCATTGTTTTGTCTCTGCTCTGATCATTCCAGATAGTAAAATCGACGATAGATTCCCACATCATCATCGGTTTCGCTTGCATTTCGACGTGAAGAGCATACCGGCCGAGGAGAAGCTGAAGGCGGCGGAGCTGCAGTTGACGCGCGAGGCGCTCAGTCAGGCGGCGTTGCAGCCGCGCCAGGCGAACCGCACCCGGTACCAGGTGCTTGTCTACGACATCACACGGGTGGGTGTGCGCGGGAAGCGGGAGCCGAGCTATTTGCTGCTCGACACGAAGACGGTACGTCTGAACAGCACCGAGACGGTGAGTCTGGACGTGCAGCCCGCTGTGGATCGGTGGCTGGCTACACCGGAGAAGAACTACGGCCTGCTGGTGGAGGTGCGCACGATGCGCTCCCTGAAGCCGGCGCCCCATCATCATGTGCGCTTGCGCCGCAGCGCGGACGAAGCGCACGAGAAGTGGCAGCACAAGCAGCCCCTGCTCTTCACCTATACGGACGATGGGCGGCACAAGTCGCGCTCGATACGGGACGTTAGTGGGCGGAATCGGCGGCATCAGCGGCGGCCGGCACGGCGCAAGAACCATGAGGAGACCTGCCGTCGGCATTCGTTGTATGTGGACTTTGCGGATGTCGGCTGGAGCGATTGGATTGTCGCCCCGCCGGGCTACGACGCTTTCTACTGCCACGGAAAGTGTCCGTTTCCGCTCGCCGATCATCTCAACTCAACGAATCATGCGGTCGTGCAAACCTTAGTCAATAACATTAACCCAGGAAAGGTACCAAAGGCGTGCTGTGTGCCCACACAGTTGGAGGGCATCTCGATGCTCTATCTCAATGACCAAAGTACAGTTGTGCTCAAGAACTATCAGGACATGACCGTTGTGGGCTGCGGCTGTCGGTAGACAGAGATGGCGTGCGTGCGCAGCGAAAGAGTATGAGAGTGAGCAATAGAGAGAGAGAGAGAGAGAGAGAGAGAGCAAGAGCGAGAGAGCGCGAGAGAGCATCAAATGCTGTTTGGTTCCAAGCCGTAAATGCTTTAAACAAGTTTAAATTTTATTAAACGCAACGCAAACAAAATGGACTGAATATTTGAATTTTAAGTGTAAATCCTAGACTTTAATTGTATTTAGAGCAAAACGCAGCAGCCAGCACCCAACACAGTAGAGAGAACGAGAGATCTAGCGAGAGTGAGACAGACAGACGGAGAGACAGAGAGAGAGAGAGAGAGAGAGAGGGAGAGAGCGGAATGAGGAGACTGTCACTTTCAACAGCCAGGCTGTCGAAATGATGGACAGTTGTGAAGAAAGCGCGCCATCAACTGTAAATAGCTAAAAAGTAAGCCGCCGCCAACATCGCCCACAACCACCTGCAACCACCCGCAACCACCTACAACCACCTGCAACCACCCGCAACCGCCCACCATCGCCCAGAGCGTACGCAAGCGTAGCCATAATAGGAAAACAAGCGCCATAGTCCCGCCATAGCCCTGCCATAGATCCCAGCCATAGACAGTCAGCTCCCGAAACTCTAATCAGCAACAACAACAACAACTACACCAACACCAAGACCAAGCACACTATCCGACTCTGAATGCGTCTGCTAACTAATGAACAAATTGTAAAATAATAAAAGAAACTTAGGAGGTTCGTAACGTCTAGAAATTATTTAAAGAACTTGCATTAATGAATCGAATGGAGAACGCAAATGTTTTTTTTGTTAATATCTTTGTAATTTCTATTGTAAATTTTTAGGTAAACAATTAATTTAAACTAAAGATTATATAAAAAATTAGCCCTGAAATCAAAAAATCAAAAAATAAAACAAGAAACAAAACAAAAACCAATTAAAAGAGGGCAACCAGTTTTGCGCTGTTGTATGTTTTATTGACTTGAAATTATTATAAACGTAGAGAAATCGCATAAACATATGTAGATACTATACTAAGTATATCTTCGATGCACGAGCAACTCTTCTATGTACTATATATTCACTAAACCAACTATAAACTGTTAACTGTACACTCGAGACCCCAAACTACTATAAACCCTGCTCCTACTATGTAACATATATGTATCGAAGCGGAGGTATGTACAAGTATTCTCCTTCGTTCCGCACTAATTGTAACTAAATGTAAAATATGAAGCAGATATCGATAATATTCGTATGTTAACTCTACATATACACACATATATATGTATAACTAAATTAATCTAGCGATTAGACGATACTCATAAGTCAGCCCCAACAGCAGCAAACTAGAGTGCAGAGGAAAGCAAAATTAAAAAGAAAAAAACAACAAAAAATCAAACTAAAAACAAAACAAAACAAAAAGAAACGAATCCGTGCATAAGTTGTAGCACGACTTGTATGTAATTTTCATAAACCTTATTATTTTATTTATTTAAACATATTTTTTGATGATGATGAATGCCGAGTGGCGAAAAGCAACGAAGCGAAAGAAAAATATAAACAAGAAAAATTTATTACAAAAAAAAACACGTCTCTGTTTTCTCATTTATTTCGAAAGAGGAAAAAGGACTAACCAGCAGAAGGACATCACTCTACTCTGCGCATCCCATTCAAAAGCAGTGCTTGTTCAATAAAGAGACCAACTGTTGCATTTGGGATAAAATATATATTTTCCAGCTAGGAAGCTGAATTTCGGAAACAAGGTTCCTTGCACAGTGTGGCTGAGCAACAAGAAATTCAACCTCCGATTGGGGCAGAACGGGCTCCAATGCTTGTGTGAAAAATTGCATTCATTTAATTAATTATTTATGTAGTTATTTCAAGAGGTAAGTACAGACATCTCTCGGTTTCAGTGGAATGTTTCAATAAAGCCGTTCATGGAATTATTTATGCAACTATAAACAATCCATAGAGGGGAGCAGTTGGCGTTAAATACAACTAAATCGTTTATCCAATCAGCATAAATGATGCCTGGAATTGTCTTTATTAATCGCGACTAATTTGGTGCATTTATCATTCTTTAACAAGCTGTCTATAAAGCTTACAAAGTCAGATGCATATTAAACAATTCTCTCACGATTTACAGCAAATAGTCTGGTCCGTAATAAGGTGGGTTTGCAATCGAAAATAAATATGTAACTGGCTAGTATTGTAACTGATTTAGTATCAAGATAGAGTAGCTATGTAGTGACTAGAAATTTTTACTACTTATAATTGGTTTCTTTAATATTCTAACCATCTTATTATTCTAATTAAGAAGAGAATGGTCTGCTATGGAGGGAAGACGAGCTTGGACAGCCAAGTCAAATGGTTAACTGTTCGATTAAATAGGGCACCACCTTAATCCGACTGGATGGTCTAGCACGCGTTACAAAACCTCCCTGCAGTCTCTATAATTTATAAAATATGTGCCATTTCTCTGTCCATCAAAACAGAAATCACACACTTATTTAACTTAAATTGAAAGTGAATCCAAAAAAGGTGTAACATCCTTCGAGCCGGATTTGAACCAGCGACCTATGGATGCCTGCGATCCGAATTCCAAACACCATGTTCTACCACTACAGTCCACCGCTCTACCAACTGAGCTATCGAAGGTGCTATCAGAGCAGGTGCCGATTGGCAATAAAGCCAAAAGCTTATCACCAGCCACTCATAATGCCACCACCAACAACAACAACAGCAACGACGAAAAGTGTCGCAAATGCTTATCTCAGCATAATTTGGACTCGCATTTCAAGCGCTGCACGCTTGCCGCTACGTGAGAAGCGGATTCGCTGATAAGAGCGGACAGAAATGGCAAGAAAACGAAGTCAAGTACTTGCGAAGAGACCAGGAGAGCTGACGAGTAACTTGAGCGCTGGAGGCGCAGAAATCATTCACATTCACAGTATTAATAATTCAGCTGTGAAGAGCGCGTGCTAATTGTTAATAAACATTCGCGGCTAATTGTTGTGCGGCAATTAAAACGGCATTCAAAACAAAATGCTAATTGGCCGCAAGTAAGTGCGAATATACTCGTACAGTATGCCCGTGAGTGTTCAGATAGCGATCTTCACACACTGCTGCTGGGCCCGCTATGTGTCATAGGTCGAGAGGCGGAGCTACCTTCCAGCTGGGTCCCCGACAAGTGCTTGTAATGGGAACGGGAAATCAGATACAAAAATTCGGACACCCAAAGCGCGTGAGTCATGCAAAGTAGTTTACTTTTCTTTTATTTTTTTTTTATCGAAAACTAAATTAATTGACGCAACACGAGGTTCAATTAAATGACTCATCAGCCAGAGAGAGAGAGAGAGAGAGAGAGAGAGAGAGAGAGAGAGAGAGAGAGAGAGAGAGAAGATGCTGCTGGCACACACACATACACACACGACAATTTGCCGAAAACTGAAACTAAACTGAAATTGTCAAATTGTCGGCTTTTGGAATTCTCTGGAACTTGGCAAGGTGCCAGATGCAATTGTGTAGATGCGCCAACTGCGATAAGGAGTGCAACCCACCTACTGGGCCCACTTCACTTCACTCCAGTCCACTCCAGTCCAGTCCAGTCCAGTCCATTCACTTCCCTGCTAAATCATTGGCTGACCACCACGAAATCGATACCAAGGGCTAGGCTCTGGCCGGAGTCTAGAGCCGACATCAAACGCATTGCTCGGTCCAGCCCGCTTTCGAGATCTGGCGGCCTTGATAGGCCGGCCAGCGAGAAACTATTTGAGTCATTCTTAAAAATTATGAACATTTGTTGTAACATACCTGAGCAAATTACAAACACCAACACACTCTAAGGCAGCAACAACAACAGCAACCCAAAGCCGGTATCTGCAACCCGCAGCACTACGGGGCGCTTCCAAAGGGCAATCATTTTCTTATCTAACAAGACATTTTGGGCAATCGATCCACTCACGGGTCGGCCAACCGGCCCGGCGACCAATCCATCCATCTAACCATACTCAATGGATCACACAAATTGCCGCGCAAGATGCTTCAGTTTCAGATTCAGTCGCAGACTCTGACTCTGGCTCGGACCCAGACTCAGACTCAGACTCCGACTCTGACTCGGCATTGGCTCTGGCTTTTGGGATCAGCTGCCACGACATTATTGTTTTAGGCCCTAGCCGCTCACACAATCGGCACACTTCGCAAAATAGTCCAGTGTGTTTAGTTTCGTGAAGTTGGAAAGATTCCAAATACTTTTAAAAAATCGATTAAAGAAGATGGTGGTAAGTGTGCTGAACAAGCAGAAATCTCAGTCACATTTCTGATTAACTCCGAATATCAACCAAGCTAAATATATAAATATATTAGATATATTTCTGTAAATAAGGTATAAAATCAATCAGATAATTGGGGTTCAACTGTACGTATGAATGCAACATTTTTCAAAATTTAGTTTATTCTTGATTGTTATATTATTTGCGTCTATTTTTTCTCCGAGTGTATATGCAGGCGTGGGTATTGTTCGTGTCTGTGTGTGTGTGTGTGTATTTTGTCGGTAATTATCCGTAAGCTGTCAGTTTTTTCGCTCCGCTTCCTCCGGCGCTTCACTTCACATGCCAGCCAGCGAGCCGAACGTTTCCGAACTCGCAGTCGTCACCCGACCCCTGTCCGACTGACCGCCCCTAACCTTTGACCATATAAAGTGTACATACATACACACATACTCGTATATAGATTAACTGATATTGTGCCGCGCTCTTCATTTTCTACCTTCTCTCTGTTGGTGTTTTTTATGGCTTGCTGCGTCTTTTGGCATCCTAATTGGTTTGTTAAGTATTCTCTCATCTTCTTGCTGCGCTGCTGCTGCTGCTGCTGCTGCGTCTGCCTCCTCTTCTTCTTCAACTAACCGTCAAAAATTGCCCTTTTCTCGCCAGCACTGTGTGTGTGCGTGTGCGTGTGTGTGTGGTGTGTGGCGCTTATCAGCAACACTTTGTGCGGCTGCTGCTGCTTGTTGTTGTTGCTGCTGCTGCTGTTGCTGTTGTTGTTGCCCGCCAGCAGCGTTCTGGAAGTTTGTCTAAAGAGGCTTCTAGTTGTAAATAAAAAATAAAAAAAATCGAACCGGCCGTTCGCAGATAAGCCAAGAAAGTTGTGGCATGATTCACTCATCGGCTGCTGTGCTGTTGCAGCTGCTGCTGGACTCATGAGTCATCCTGGCGCTGCGGCCGCTAGATGGCCTCTTAACTGCCCGCACTGATAGGGCGCCAATGCGCATCCGATTGTTTACACTAGCGCCACCGTTTGATCTGACCGCCTCCCACCGCCGCCACCAGAGAGCCAAATTTGTCGACAACGCAAAGAGTAACGGTAAGAGTGAGAGTGCGTGAGTGAGAGCACGAAAGCATTGCCCTGCTCTTAAAGCTTGGCTGAGCTTAACTTGCAGTTCGAAAACGCATTGCCAGCGAAGCCATTTATAGACCTTCGATAGCTCAGTTGGTAGAGCGGTGGACTGTAGAAAGGCAAAACGAGAGCGTAGACATCCATAGGTCGCTGGTTCAAATCCGGCTCGAAGGAAGCTCTACTTTTTATTAATTTATAATTTATTGTTTTCGATTTTTTAAAGCATAATCATCTTTAATTAAAAATAATAATATAATAATTGTGTAGGCTTCACAAATCAGATTATTATTATGATTATATTGCTATGCATGCATTGATTGATATTGTTTTAACTTTTAGGTACGATTTCTGATTTTAAATTATTATTTGAAAATCCTATTCTTTAAAGTATTGTTGTTATTGATGACAAAACGCAACACATTTGTAAAGACTGTTTTCGAAAAGGGAAATATGAATGTTTTTAATTCAAATTATAAATTAATCCACAGAAATGTTGAAACTATTTATTTTGTATTTATTGTTTGTTTTATAAAAACATAAACGAGCTTATAATTTAAATAAGATGTGATTTACAAAACTAGATTCGAATCAATTCAGACAATTTTCGAACTGTGGGAGCATCTATTATTTATAGAAACACAAAAGCAGTAATTCAAAATACATTTAAAGACCACACAAAGGTAAGAGTTATTAATAGTGTTTTGGAGACTGAGACTGAGTGCAGGGTTTTGATATCTTTGCTAGGTATTTGATTAGTCGGCCTCTAACATTTTTCATGATTCCATATGTCTAGCTTCTAACTTTTTAATCTATAGATGAAAGAAACCATAGAGTATATAGTTTCTATAAAAGCACAAGAAATAACTACAGCCTTAGAGATTGTTCTATGCGTTTAGAAAAGTTTTGAATTATTGCAATGAAGTCACATAATATATAACATATATATAAAACAGGAGTTAATAGTAGTAGAGCAACAAAAGTGAATGAATTTAAATATGCGTGTAGGACACTCCAATAATTCTAAATCAGCTCAGTGGTTAATGTAAATAATGACGTATCACCCGACAAGCCATTACATTGAATGCATTTGTATTGATTTGTTGAAGAACTGACTGGCAGACTG